TGCCACGGTTTCCACATGAAATGAAGCATTCTGAAGTTTAGACACTCAGGTATAATTGGAGGGGTTGAACAAACACATATCATTAACCTTTGAGTAATTACAGCCACAGTGCTCCTTTTTCAGATGGCAGGGAATGAATTAGCATAATCATAAATTAGCTGTTTATTTTTAATACTCTGTTGAGAATTCTTTGCAGGCAGCGACTGAGATGTCACCAGAGAAAGGCTTTCGTGTTTTGTGATGCTTTGCCGAGCCTCGGCGGTTTCCCTCTTCAGCTGTTTGTTTTGTTTATGGATCATTGTGCCGTAGCTTCATCATGAGCGAAATGCAGCTCCATTTGCTCCAATATTCCACTTCTTTGCTTTGAGTTGCAATATGTTCGGGGTCATTGTCCATCTTTGCTGCGAAGCGCGGTTCAGTCAATTTTCCTGCTGTGTCGCTCATATTTCATTAGTGTGCAGCCTGTCAGTCACGTCTAGCTTGCATTGAGGAGAACAGTCTGAGCTATAAATGTTGAAAACTAAAAGCTGTCAACACAAACCCTCAAAACTGTCCTTCATTCACTCCACAGCTTTCAGATTATGTTCTTCATTGAACACGTTCATGTGTGTAAGACGCCGTGGATTTGTGCGTGCGTGCTTAATTCTAGGGTAAAATGTAAAATGCCTGGTTGGAATTCTCTCAGATAACTTATTCATTACCACAGCTTTTACTAGATACGAAGCTGATGAATTATGAGACTGATCAAATTTAATTGGATCCATTAAGATGCAAACTCAATAGCTTCCATCTTGCACAGACATGGGTCCATTATTCAGGTGGGCTGCAAGGTGATTCGTCGTTCATGGGAAATGTTGTTTTGCTGTTTATTGAAGAGTGGACTCAGACGAGGCTGAGATTCAGGTGGAGCGGTGGAAAGAGTTTAGAGGACTTACTTAAAATAAATTGAAATGAAGCTTATGTTCAACAAGGAAGATCTACATTTACTCTAGAATTAGAATCAAAAGCCTTTAATTTCATTACATGTGAACCTAACTGGCCATCTTTGAACAAGTAATTCCTACCTGTTAATTCATAAATGAGCACTGATCACCTTTTTTTGGAAAGCTGAGCTCAGTTTCACAAACCACACACAGGCCTGATTACTGGTGAAGCTGCGTGAAATAGGTTAAAAAGCTCTCACAAATCAACACTTTAGATCACGCCATGATCTGAAGAAACAGCTGAAAAACAAAGTCATTGACATCCATCAGTCTGGAAAGATTTAAAAAGGGATTTCTAAGGTAAAAGACCCCAGAACAGCATGTAGAGACCTGCAGGCCTCACTTGCCTAAGTTAAGGCCAGAGTTCATGATTCAACAATAAGAAAGAGACTGGACGAAAACCACTGCTGATCAAGAAGAACACAAAGGCTCATCTCACATTTACCAAGTAACATCTTGGTGATCCCCAAAAGTTTTGGGAAAATATTCTGTGGACTGACGAGATATAGAGCTGATTTTTTTTTTTTAGAAGGATTAAGTCCTGTTGCATTTGGTGTAAAAATCACATAATTTCAAAAAAAGACTATCACACCATCAGTCAGACGTGGTGGTGATAGTGTAGTGGTCGCAGGCTGCTCTGCTGCTTCAGGACGACTTGCTGCACTTGATGGAATTGTTAATTTTGCTATCCCATCAGGATTATCAGTCTTAAGTCTGAAGCTCAAAGAAATGATCTGAAACACACCAGCGAGTCCACCTCTGAATGACTCAAAGACAGAAACAAAAAAACAAAATGAAGGTTTTGGAGTGACCCAGTCAAAGTGTGGACTTGAACTGATGCTTTGGCATGACCTTAAACCGAGTTTAACCAGGGTTGTTCTTGCTGAGCTCTCTCAGGAAGTGAAGTCGCTAACCGTAACACCCATGCAGCAACTTGCGGTGCTGTGGATGTCAGACCTTATGGTCCATTACTCATGTGGATCATTGGACCCATGCATGAGTAAGCAGCTCAGCTTTTTAAATTGTTTCATTTTCAGCCACATATTAGTCACTTGAGCTCACTAATTTGTATCAAGTTGTACCAGTGGGAGTTAATTAGGCCAGGGGCTGTTACAATGAGTGTGTTAGCACTAAGCTAGCAGCTCTGGTTTGGGGTCTTTGATCCTGATAGATACTGAATCCATGTCTTGTGTTTTACACACTGTTCGGTTACATTCAGTACGCTTAATCTGTGTCCTCTCAGTTTGAGACCATGAGTTAATAATGAACACATGAATTATTAAACATGCTATAATAAATATTCACATTGATCAAATGATGTGAGTAACGTCAAAAGTGTGTCTGGTTGTAACAAACCTACGTAGATCAAACACATAGGGCTGGGTGAACAGAGATCCATCTTTTTATCCGTCGTCTCCAATACCACATATTGAGACAATGTCCTACATTTTGATTGGCTCTGCACTGCAGGACATGCACTTCTCTAAAATCTATAATATATGAAGCGAAGACTTTTTATTAAAGAAAAATGAAGGTTACTGAAGCCCAAAGGCTGTTACCAGGCAGAACAGCAGCTGAAACAACAGTGAACAAAAGCAGTCCCCCAACGGACAACGACTTTTACAACGACTTTGGTGTTTAATGATGTTTTTATTACAATATGATGATTGTATGATGTCATTTAAAACAAAAGAAGAAAATGTTACGTACTGCCCTCTCCATGGCTTTTCATATGACAGATTACTTGATACGGTTTCTTCAAATTTGGGCACTAAAAATGAAGGTCAAAATCAAATGTTTAGCCAGCCAAGGTATTGATGTCCACCAAGGTGTAGCATATTGTTGTGAAGTTAGAATATCCATCCATTAAAAAAACATGAGTAATATAAAGTTTTTTCTGATTTTGATCCGATTGCATGCTACACTGTTAATAAACAGAACTGATTAAATACTCCTCCTCCTCAGAGGAATTAACAGATAATATAGACAATAAGAACAAACTTCAGCTTCCCTTTATTCTCGTTATATTTACTTTTAGACTGTGATCTGGTCACCCTACACAGGACCCAATCACACAAGGCAAGTTTGAAGAAGAAAAGGAGATTTATTTGTGTCATTCAGCTGAGCAGAAATGCCAAGAACAGAGAAATCAACAGGTTGTACTTTCACAAAAAAACATTTTCCCCATAAAGAGTGTAAATGGTCAAAATAACCATGTGGGTAAAATATATGGAGAAAAAATAATAGAAAATGTCTTTGTTTTAAAACAAAACACTGTAGTATGTTTTTAAGGATTTTTCTTTTTTTACATAATACTGAACCAAAAACAAAACACAAACTAACTTGACAGCAGAAAATGGGGACAGCATTATAAATCATTATTATAAATCCACAAAATACTAAATGGCTAATTGTTTACACACAAAACCCACTTGTGAAGGAGAAAGGCAGGAAGTAACAAAAGAAAACAATTAAAAATGGTTTCAAAATAAAACAGCCAAACTACACTGTTCCAAAAAATAGTAATGTCAAAGTATCTTAGTGTGTATTTTACAGTTTTGTACTGTCTTTCTAGAATATCATTACATTCACATAAGTAGACTGTGATTTTACATGTCAAAGGTAAAATAACATAACATCACTGTAAATATAGCAAAACACAATTTACTTGTTTTTTAAATATATTTTTTTGTACATATACATATTGAGATTGTAAAAATACATTCAGAAATGTATCATAATTTCACGAATATTTGTCTGTTATGTGAGAGAATGATCTGTTAAATTCAAATGTAATACTATGGAAAAATATATAAAATGAGAGTATTTGAATTATAATTGTGCTGAAAATTTCATGTCATCTAGGTCTGATTCAATAATTCAGAGGTAACAAGTGAAAATATAATTAATAGGAATAAAAACGAAAAAAAACAAACATATAAAACATTGCACGGCCACGCTGTGCTAATTATATTTTTAAAAAAAATAAATGTAGAGGTAGGAATTGCAATTAATATAAATGTCAAAGTATTCACAACATTCCTGAACAGAAAGAGGCCTCTGCACCTGGGTGAGGGTGTGGCCATGAAAACAATGTGACATGCCATTGGATGTTGGGACACATAATAACATGACGCTAAGCATCGGCCAGTGAATGTGAACTAACAACCACAAGGTCGCAGGTATGGCAGCACTGTAGGAAAAAATCCTAATATAAAAGTATTTTACTGCATTTTACAGTTTTGTTCTGTTCTTCTAGAAGATCATTAACGTTACGTAAATAGACTGTGATTTCACATTTCAAATGTAAATTAACGTTAAATCACTGTAATGTAATAAAACATAATTTTCATGATTATTAAATGTATCTGTCTGTACATATGCATATTTAGATTGTTAAAACACATTCACAAATGTATCATGATCTCACAAATATCTGTCCGTTATTTGAAAGATTGAACTGTTGAATTCAAATGTAATGCTATGGAAAAGTATATAACATGATTCCTATAAGCTTGTGTTACATCACAGTATTATTATCATTGCTATTTAGGGCGATCGTGGCTCAGGAGTTGGCAGTTCGCCTTGTGACCAGAAGGTTGCCGGTTCGAGCCCCGGCTCGGATACTCTCGGTATTGTGTCCGTGGTCAAGACTCTTCGCCTACTGGTGATGGGCTGATGGTGCGATATGGCAGCCTCGCCTCTGGCAGTCTGTCCCAGGGCATGCAATCCATTATTATTTAACTGTATATTTCTGTACATTTACGCATTATGATTCATATTGCCACATTCATTGACCTTGTTTATAGGTAATTTCATTGTTTGATCACGTTAAAATGTTCCTAATTTGATGTCTAAACGCACTTGGAAAAGGCAGAATCCCATGTAAAATTAGCGCAACAAACTGTATTGTCATTACTGGAAATAACCGTATTTTTATGAGAAAGTTATTTTCTGTTATTTTACGGTAGTATTTTGGCGCCCCAGCTGCTGGACTATTACCGTTTTTTTGAGATGTTTTTTTTAACAGTGTACAAAGAAAACCCTAAAGAAAACACACAAAACATTTTATCATCTTATTAGCTGAACGTTGTCTTAAATTTCTACCACCCAGCTTTACAGTTGTGTCTCACGTTCACTGCTCAATAGCTTTTTAGCGATTTTTCAGGCATACTGTACAACAGATGTTTGCCAGATATCAGGTAAGCAGGGTGTAGAGGTAAGAGCAAAAGAGCTACTTTTCTCCTACTTACTTATTTTCCAGCATCGACACTGTCACTAAGTGCTCTGGAACTGAAAAAATAAGTATATGGGAGCACAAATGACACCTACTTCCCTTTGCAAAATGTATGACAAGTCTGATAGGCCGTGTCTTTTACCTGTAAATGTCCCGTGTGACTTGGTATCAGCCCAACTCAATCAGACAGGGGCTGATGACTTCACACTATCCCTGCCAGGGATTCTGACTCAACGCCGACTGCGATGGGCTGGCAGCAGCCGATGCAGACGTATCTGAGGATCCAGAGATAGACGCCGCCGAACACGACGACGGTCAGGCCCAGCAGCAGGAAGCTGATGTAGGATTGGGGACTGACGCTGAACAGCACAGGAGGGTGGGGGGTGTTGATGGAGTCATCAGTGATTTTCTGGGCTGGATAAACCCGCAGGAGAGATGAGAAAATAGAGAGAAACTAGTCACGGAAAAGATGATTTCTGTGGAGTGAAACAAGGAACAGTGTCTCACAATGATGCCAAAACAATGATGTCAACAGGACTAAGAGTCCACAGTAGGGCTGGTAATCTGAAAGACAACCAATCACCAATTAACCTACCCAACTTACTGCATGTCTCTGGGACTGTGGGAGGAAACCACAGCACCCAGAGAGAACAAACTGCAAACAAACTCCACACAGAGTGGAACCCAGGACCTTCTTGCTGTGAGCAAACAGTGGTAACCTCCCATGATTTTGCACTATACAAATAAAATTAAACTGAATGGGTCAGATGCTGATAGCCAGACTGATAAACCATGAGTTAGCTTAGAGTTGATAACCAGCTTTGTGTGACCGCTCATCCTTATTCCAGATGTTAGGCTAAGTGAGTCCTGATAACGGAAAGGTAACCTGGGTGTGTTGAAGTCATTTTGTGGGTCCTGAAAACGATGCCATGTGATCATGAAAGCTAATAAAATCATCCTGAGTGGAACATGAATGCTTTCATCAAAGCTCACGGCCACCTATAGAGACCAGCCATTGTAGCACTGACTGTCAGAGCTTCAGGAAGCAGTCGACACATCTATTAAAATCTTTCACCAATTTATCTTGTGTGAACTTTGATATTCAGGGGAAAACACACCTGGTGACAGAACATTATTACAGTGAATCCTGAGAAGGCTATGAGTATTCATTCACCATTTCCTCTATATATATAAAAAAAGAAACTGTCAGCCTCCTAATGCTGTTGAAGGCACTGGGTATTTAGAGGAATTTCATCCCTGTGGACCGTCATTTTAGAACCACTACGATCTCTCAAACCACACTGCTGCAGCATTTTACCGAGGAGTTGCAAGAAAGATGGCGAGGAGGAGGAAACAGAACAAAGGAAAACAGTGATGAGGGAAGAAAAATAGATTGTTTTTGTTATTGTTGTTGTTTTTCAATGCAGCAGTCTTGATGTATGCTTCTGTCTAATCAAGACTAATTAAAATTCCTGGTGTTCTAGCACGGAGTAACTCGATCACTGCACCTCAAAGGTAACTGAAGACGACAGGGTGCAGAGGGTTGGATTTTCCCCGACAGGTACTCTCCAGAAATTCAGCCTCCTTTAATTTGAAATTGAATCTATTTAGCTGGACGTCACAATTTAAAGGTTAAACCTGAAAACACCAAAACATTTGATGGATTTTTGCAATTTATACATGTACATATATATAAATCATATATAGATCTCAACATAAATATTAATTCTTGATTAGGAGTAGAAAAGTAATTGTAATGTGATAAGAAGCATTTTGTATTTGATTCCTTAGAATGTCGTTTAAATTTTACTTAATTTTTATGGAGTTCTGTATCTTTTTTTGTTGTAGGAACTACTCGCAGTCGGTCCCACTCTAGCTCTTTGTCAGAAAGTAATCTGCTGGGCAAATCTTACTCACCAAGCCTTGTGGATTTTTGTGTCACAAGGAGAATTAATGCACTTTTTGCTCAAAGGCTTTTCACTCATGTGGCACCTGCAAAGTGTTGTTAAGCATATGAGCCTCTCAAAAGCACACACACAGAAATAAAAACTATTCAGAGCTCATGATTATCAGCAGGGCTTTCAGATCACCTGATGGGCAACTGTCTAGACAATAAACCGCTCACTCACCTCTGCTGAAGTGTGTGATTAGCAGCAGACTAAAGAAGCTCCTAACGCCAGCATTCATTTCGACAGTGCAGCAGATTTACTGTGAAGACAAGAAACACTTGGCATTTTTGCATCCACACATCTACATGTGGTCTTAGAGGAGCTCACGCAGCAGGAATCGCCACAGAGGTGGACTTCAAAGCCAGAGGAAATGAAATTCATACTGTAAGCACACATTTTCCTGCACATTGAGTTTAGCTGAACACAGAAAAACTGACATACAGTGTAATCTAAACATAGAGCACTGACACAGGGAAGAGATTCAACACAGATGTACTTTCGATTGGATTTTTGGAGCAGACAGGTGGCTTATTTATAATTCATAAGAAGCTTTTACATGAGAAAAGCAGAGTTATGAATAAATTTAAGCAAACAAGGCCAGACTCTCAGGTACTAACCTGGAAAACATCTTGCTTACTTTTCATGTGGAAGGGAAACAGCTGCATCAGGGATGTGATTAGAACTAAAAGCCAGAAATGTGCAAATGAGGGGGAGGAAATACATTTTTTAAGGGAAGAAAAAGCCTACCTTTTGTTCCAAATATTTTACATAACAGAGAACACTCCATATGGAGGGCTACAAATGGACTAAAGATGCCAAAAGCCTGTGTGACAGGGGCATATAGCAGAGTGGGGTCATAAGCCCTCGGACCCTTTCTTGTGACTTCTTTCATTCAGTTTCTAACACATCAGATTCATTTCAATTCAATTCAATTCAATTTTATTTATATAGCGCCGAATCACAACAAAAGTTGCCTCAAGGCGCTTCATAGATACAGAGAAAAACCCAACAATCAAATGACCCCCTATGAGCAAGCACTTTGGCGACAGTGGGAAGGAAAAACTCCCTTTTAACAGGAAGAAAGCTCCGGCAGAACCAGGCTCAGGGAGGGGCGGCCATCTGCTGCGACCGGTTGGGGTGAGAGAAGGAAGACAGGATAAAAGACATGCTGTGGAAGAGAGACAGAGGTTAATAACAGATATGATTCAATGCAGAGAGGTCTATTAATACACAGTGAGTGAGAAAGGTGACTGGAAAGGAAAAACTCAATGCATCATGGGAATCCCCCAGCAGCCTACGTCTATTGCAGCATAACTAAGGGAGGATTCAGGATCACCTGGTCCAGCCCTAACTATATGCTTTAGCAAAAAGGAAAGTTTTAAGCCTAATCTTGAAAGTAGAGATAGTGTCTGTCTCCCGAATCCAAACTGGAAGCTGGTTCCACAGAAGAGGGGCCTGAAAACTGAAGGCTCTTCCCCCCATTCTACTTTTAAATACTCTAGGAACAACAAGTAGGCCTGCAGAGCGAGAGCGAAGTGCTCTAATAGGGTGATATTAGAGCACTAACTAGATTAGATCCTAACTATAAACCTGTAAAGTTTGTGTCTGTGTCTTGGCTCAGTTTTAACACAGTTGTGTTGACAAAATCTTCCCACAAAGAGCCCAGCCATGCAAACACCTGCCGAAGAGCTCACAGCAGCTGTCTGCAGGGGCACTCTGTGCCACAATGACAGACGGACTCACACACAGAAACAATAATCTCGCTTGTAAACAATAATGCATTCCTGCTCTGCAAGGAGTGAAGGAAAAACAACTTCGATTCAGCCAAAGAGATTTTCCCGCCCCCACACGCTCAGGCAAATAAGCCGATACCTCTGTTACTGATGCGGCGCGGAGATCTGAGGAGACCCCTGCCTCGCCTCCGTCACTCACCGTTGATGCTTCCTTGCTTCTTCCTTGCACCAATTCTGGATGGTTTTGCTTTGCAGCAGAGTGAGAATGTGAATCAATAACAGTGACAAAGCAGCAAGAGAGCGACAGCAAGTGAGAGGAGAGGACATAGATCCAAATATAGAAGGCAGTGGGGCAATTATCGAGAAAGGAACAGATTCCCCTCCTACGCCGGCAGGAGGTGGGGACTGAGAGAACAGACAGTCCTGGAGAATGAACAAAAAATTATAGCAAAAATGGAAATTATTCTGTACAAACAACACAATAAAATAACTGAAAAAAATAGAACAGCTTGCTGCCCCCTAGTGGCACTTTTAAGGCACAGCAATCTACCTCAATAACATGCACATGATTTCATGTACAACCCCTTTCATTAAGGTTTAATGAAAATAATTATAAATGAAATCTGGTCATTAAAACGAGATAAATAAAACCTGAGATGAACACACGACATATTTCACAGAGTCATTATTTATTTAATAATTTAATACACACACACACACACACACACACACACACACACACACACACACACGCACACACACACACACACACAGATATATACAAAGAATTTCACATGAAGGTTTTTAATTTAAATCTATGAGTATAAGTATAAGTATAAGTGTAAGGGAAGCCCATCTCTCCCTCTCCATTTCCCCGCAGATGCAGCAAAGCTCCTTCCTCAGGCATGTCCAACCCTGCTGCTCGTAACAGTTGATATTATTGTAATACAGTGCATCACCACATGGTGGCGCCTACAACAGCTCTCATTTTTGTGTTTCAACCTCAGTGATAGTGGCGTGGAGCGGTGTCTTACAGAGGTCGACTCACATGATCAGCAGAGGGCCAACAATCCCTGTGACCACCTTCAAGAGACAACCCTCACTAAGAGGTGACCCTTGTGGTGTCCTCGGGATTCCCATATACTTGTTTGCCATTCACCTATAGGGACCATTTTTGAGCCGAGGACGACACAATTTCTTTGGATGGTGAAATGTCATTACAAACCTAAAGAACACCAGTTTCTTCCTTTTCAATCAATCGAGACAGTGACTCAGTGTGGAAGTATCGCTCAGGCCTCTTACTTATTGGATAATTCTCACCTGCCTACTTACCTCACCTGTCATCCATCACAGTGATCCCTTCACAGTGCGCCTGCCTCTCCCACTGTCATCCCGCTGAAAGAAACTCACCTGTCTCAAAGCTTGTGGAAGCTGGAATCAGACCAGACCCTGAACTAAATCCTTTGAACATTATGTGAATTTAATTTCTGATCTGACTGCAAATACTAAGCAGCTGTAATGAGTCGCTAATTAAAAATGTGGAACTTTCTCTAGCAGCCTCCCGCCGTTCAGTCTTTTGACATGAACAATAACAGATTGGATTCAACGAACAAACTGGTAGATGATGTCACATGCCCATCTTTTCTATAAAGTCTGTGGGATGGACTGTAGTACTGGAGCGATGTGGTTAAAAACTTCAATTAATGGGATATTGGTGGCATTTGTTCAACAGTCTCTACCATTTGACCTTAGAACTGAAGAAGCTTCTCGGATGAGAGGTGAAATGTCTTCAAGCAACTTAAAGAAGTCCAGACGCTTTTCTTTCCACGCTCCTTAGGCTACGAGGACCTGGATGACTGAGAACCTTCACAGACATATTCAACAGTCTTTGTTGCTTCTACCAGCTGAAAACTATACATCTAATGACCCAGCATGAGGATGAAATAAAACACTATTTTCCAGAAGGAGATTTAAAAAACAAAGCAACCAAAAACAATTACAAACGTTGGCCATTAGTGTAAAATCAGGGCAGAATTTAGTTAAATTATCTGAAGATAATTTGAATGTTTTCAGTGCCACAGCAGGAGATCAAACATCAAGTGATCTCCTGCTGTGACGTTGAAGAGAGGACACAATCGCACAGCAATAAACAAGTCATTCATTTGTGTTTTGCAAAGCGTTTTCTCCACTCTTAAAGGGAAGCTGTTGGTTTAACTGTGAATGCATACTGCTGAATGAACATAACAGGGCAGAAAAAAAAAACATTTTCCCCACAGGCTATCATACACAATCTGGCACAATGAACGGTAACAATCACATGGGTGAGCACAACAATATATTGCATTACCTGTCAGGCAGAACAATGGGGAGACTAGCAGAGCTGAACAAAACACACACACACACACACACACTGCATTTGTGGCAATCTCTCTGTAGAGCTGATTGTCAAGCTTTTACAGCAAAAGAAAGAGAAAGTGAAGCAAAAATGGTGAAAACAAATATGAATTCATGCTATTACATTCTACTCTGAAAAGAGACAAATGCAGTGATGTTTAACTGTGTGCAACTTCTGTAATTACCATCAAAATATTTATTATTAGACATGTTTTTAGAAGCATTCCTGTAAAAGTAGCAACAAAACACTATGAACATGCCTCGGAGCACAGAGGATGCAGTCTCCATCGCACTGCACTCTGTCCTCTCACACCTGGACAACAACAACACCTACGCCAGAATGCTGTTTATAGACTTCAGTTCAGGGTTCAATACAATCCACCCCTCACAACTCATCAGGAAACTGACAGACCTGGGCATCAGTTCCCTCATCTGCAAATGGTTACTGGACTTCCTGACCAACCGCCCCCAACATGTCCGGCTGGATAACCGCTGTTCATCTACAATCACAATGAACCACAAGGCTGTGTGATGAGCCTTTTCCTCTACTCCCTCTTCACCCACGACTGCAGACCTGCTGATGGTTCCAACACCATCATTAAGTTTGCAGATGACACCACGGTGATTGGCCTCATCAGTGACAACGATGAGGCCGCCTACAGGGAGGAGGTGGATCGTCTGGCTGAGTGGTGCGACAGAAACAACCTGCTGCTTAACACCGAGAAGACCAAGGAGCTCATCGTGGACTACAGGAGGAATGCTGACCCACATCCACCCATCCACATTAAGGGGACGGCTGTGGAGCGTGTGAGCAGCTTCAAGTTCCTGGGAGTCCACATCTCCGAGGATCTCACCTGGACGACCAACTGCTCCAAGCTGGTCAAGAAGGCTCACCAGCGCCTCTTCTTCTTGAGGACTCTGAGGAAGAACCACCTGTCCTCAGACATCCTGGTGAACTTCTATCACTGCACCATCGAGAGCATCCTGACCAACTGTATAACAGTCTGGTACGGGAACTGCTCTGCCTCGGACCGGAAGGCGTTGCAGAGGGTCGTGAAAACTGCCCAGCGCATCGCCGGAGCACCACTTCTGCATAAAACATCTACAGGAAGCGGTGTCTGAAAAGGCTGGAAATCATCAAAGACCCCAGTCACCCATCACATGGACTCTTCACCCTCCTGCCCTCTGGGAGGCGCCACAGGAGCCTCCGGACTAAGACCACCAGGTACCGGAACAGCTTCTTCCCCACAGCTGTCAGACTCCTGAACTCTGCCTCCTGATATCTGACCCACGTTAAACTCATGGACTGAACATACACACACCCACAATGGACAACTGTACCCTCAAACACAATAATAACATGGACTGAACCACCACTCACAACCACTAGCACTTTATATAGCCTCTGTAGAAACTATCTACACCCTCACTTATCTTAACTGCACTACTGTATAGCTCTGTGTAAATAATCATTCTGTACATTCAATAATCTTTAATCCAACAACTGTTTACAACTTGCATAGTTCCCATTTCTGTATAGCTGTATATCTCAGATTCTGTAAAGTTATTTATTTCATATTCTGTATAGTTTTTCATATTTGTATCCTGTTCATATCCTGTACATAGCTTGTACTCACTACAGCCTGTACATACTTATAGTTATAGAATATTCACAACATACTTCATACCGTGTACATTATAACATACCATAATAGACCCATTTCTGTAATATACTTACATATCTATACTATTGCTAATATATATTGTAATATACCTATATCACTAAAGCACTTCTGGATGGATGCAAACTGCATTTCGTTGCCCTGTACCTGTGCAATGACAATAAAGTTGAATTCTATTCTATTCTATTCTATTCTATCCTATACTCATTAAAGTGCTTTATGCAAAATGACCAGACTGTACATAAAGTATTCAAAGCAAAAGTAATGTTCCCCATTGGTGCATGGATCAACGCCACTATCTAATCTATCAAATCATCTGTTTGTGAGTAATGAGCTCAGAAACATGAGTACACATGTTCATTTTAAATTCTGTGTCAGAACAACCGACTCAGCCGTGGGCAAAGATGATAACCAATACAATTCTAAGAGATTATTTATTAGTACAATGATAAAACAAACAAACAAAGGGATAAGACAGTCCAGTGTCCCACTTACAAAAGGGATCAAACACACAATCCAAGGTCAGAGCCGACCACGCCACAAGTCATTTACACTTTACATGTTGACCACTTTAACAGGGATCAGCAGTTGTCCTCCAACACCCACCATCCTGTAAGTGGAAGGCCGGTGATCACGCCGGCCTCAGCAACTCTGCCTTTAGGCTGCAGCATGTAGTAAGCATCTTCGCTCTAAAAAGAACACGGGAGCACAGCTTCAGTTTCTAAAGCCCCAATGACTTGTTGGATATTCCAGTGGCTCATCATCATCTGATGGTTCATCCTCATTCAGTGGCTTAAGAGAGTATGCAAAATAACCATTGTCATTGGGGCTTTGGAAACAATGTCATTTGGAAAGACCAGAACAAAGTGGAGATATCTGGCTGTAATGCACAGTGTAAAACTGGGAGGAACGGTGGTGGAAGGGTGATGGATTGAGCTTGTTTAGGCTGAAAAAGGTCACAAAAGTCTATTTTATGATGTCCAATGAAAGCAAAGTTTTAAAAGTGCGTGCAAGGCTTTGTGTGTTTTCCTAAGGGGTTTCAATCCTTATACAAATACAAAGCAATTTGAATAGAAAATCTTATGCAAACATTAATGCTTGAATAAATATATATATTTCAGGCAAAAGATTTAAGCTACAGCGTCCTTAATTTAACCTATTTGTGTGTAATATCCATGCACATGTTTAGAAATAATTGTCATATTTGTTTTCTTTACTCAGAGTTTGTTAAATATTACAAATTAAGACTTACGGTGTATCACTGTGTCCTGTGCAAATTAATTGACTTCTTTTTTTTTTTTTTTTTTTTACCCCTTTTACTTCTTTTTACCCCCTAATTTACAATGGTTAATATA